CCAACATGGTGAAACCCCAGCTCTACTAAAAATGAAAAAAATTAGCAGAGCGTGGTGGTGGGTGCCTGTAATCCCAGCTACTCAGGAGACTGGGGTAGGAGAATCACTTGAACATGGGAGGCCGAGATCGCACCACTGCACTCCAGCCTGGGCAAAAGAGCGAGACTCTATCTCAAAAAAAAAAAAAAAAAAAAAAAACCACTGACTCCTAATCAATAAATTTTAAAATATTTCTTTTTTTTTTTTTTTTTTTTTTTTTTTTGAGACGGAGTCTCGCTCTGTCGCCCAGGCTGGAGTACAGTGGCCGGATCTCAGCTCACTGCAAGCTCCGCCTCCCGGGTTCACGCCATTCTCCGGCCTCAGCCTCCCGAGTAGCTGGGACTACAGGCGCCCGCCACCTCGCCCGGCTAGTTTTTTGTATTTCTTAATAGAGACGGGGTTTCACCGTGTTAGCCAGGATGGTTTCGATCTCCTGACCTCGTGATCCGCCCGTCTCGGCCTCCCAAAGTGCTGGGATTACAGGCTTGAGCCACTGCGCCCGGCCAATAAATTTTAATTTTGATGTCATAAACAATCTGTTGGGTTTTTTGGGTTTTTTTGTTTTTTTTTTTTGAGACAAGGTCTTGCTCTGTTGCCCAGGCTGGAGAGCAATGGCGCCAACACAGTTCACGGCATTCTCAACCTCCTAGGCTCAAATGATCCTCCAAGGACCCTTCCTCAGCCAAGTAGCTGGGACTACACATGCATGCCACCACAATTGGTGGGGTTTTTTTGTCTCTTTTTTTTTTTTTTTTTTTTTTTTTTGAGAATGTCTCATCATGTTACCCAAGCTGGTCTCCAACTCCTGGGCTCAAATGAATGTCCCACCTGGAATTCCCAAGTGCTGGGATTACAGACCTGAGCCACTGCAGCTGGCCCAATTAATCTTTTGATCAAAAAAAGTCTATCATATTTTATTTAAGAAAAGAAAAATATATTAGTCTCAAAATATTTCAAATAAGAGTCAGTATGGGCCAAGTGTGGTGGCTCACACCTGTAAGCCCTGTACTTTGGGAGGCTGAGGCAGGCAGAGAGCCCAGGAGTTTGAGACCAGCCTGGAAACATTGCAAAACCCTGCCTCTACTGATAATACAAAAAATTAATCAGGTGTGGTGATTCATGCCTACAGTCCCAGCTACTGACGAGGCTGAGGTGGGAAATCACCTAAGCCCAGGAGGTTGAGGCTGCAGTGCGCTATGATCGCACCACTGCACTCCAGCCTGGGCAACAAAGCGAGACCCTGTCTCAAAAAAAAAGAAAAGTTCCTAAATGAAGTCTCAGGTATCTTTCATTTGAAAAAGAAGGTAAATAATATCTATCATTTAGGACTGCTGTGAGGATTTTAAGTGAGTTATACTTTAAGTACCTGGCACATGGTAAATGCTCAGTTGTTCACTGAACGCATGAGCTGAATGCAAGAGTTTGAGGTTGCAGTGAGCTATGATCACACCACTGTACTGCAGCCTGGGCAACAGAGAAAGACCCTGTCTCAAAAAAATAAAGTAAAATAAAAATAAATAGGCCGGGCGCGGTGGCTCAAGCCTGTAATCCCAGCACTTTGGGAGGCCGAGACGGGCGAATCATGAGGTCAGGAGATCGAGACCATCCTGGCTAACCCGGTGAAACCCCATCTCTACTAAAAAATACAAAAAACAGGCCGGGCGCGGTGGCTCAAGCCTGTAATCCCAGCACTTTGGGAGGCCGAGACGGCGGATCACGAGGTCAGGAGATCGAGACCATCCTGGCTAACACAGTGAAAACCCCGTCTCTACTAAAAAATACAAAAAACTAGCTGGGCGAGGTGGCGGGCGCCTGTAGTCCCAGCTACTCAGGAGGCTGAGGCAGGAGAACGGCGTAAATCCGGGAGGCGGAGCTTGCAGTGAGCCGAGATCCGGCCACTGCACTCCAGCCTGGGCGACAGAGCGAGACTCCGCCTCAAAAAAAAAAAAAAAATACAAAAAACTAGCCGGGCAAGGTGGCAGGCGCCTGTAGTTCCAGCTACTCAGGAGGCTGAGGCAGGAGAATGGCATGAACCCGGGAGGCGGAGCTTGCAGTGATCTGACATCCGGCCACTGCACTCCAGCCTGGGTGGCAGAGCGAGACTCTGTCTCAAAAAAAATAAAAATAAAAATACAAAAAACTAGCCAGGTGAGGTGGCGGGCGCCTGTAGTCCCAGCTACTCGGGAGGCTGAGGCAGGAAAATGGCGTGAACCCGGGAGGCAGAGCTTGCAGTGAGCCCAGATTGCGCCACTGCACTCCAGCCTGGGCGACAGAGCGAGACTCCATCTCAAAAAATAAATAAATAAAATAAAAATAAAAAATAAAAATAAAAATAAAAAACAACACTAGCAAAATCATGTTTACTGAGACTGAAACTGTTGTCTGCTCTGAAAATGCAGTATTACATGCACTAGAAACGGTTAGTTAAAACCAATGTGTAAACAAATAGAAATGCATTGTGTAGAAAAGAAGCAAAGAACCTTCTGATAATATTTTCACCACTTCGACACTAACACCCAGAGACTGAAAAGATTCTGGCTGTCAGGCCTAGGGCATATATGATTCTCAATCTCAGTAGACCACAGAAATACACTCTGGCTTTACAAAGTCCTGAGAAGTCAAAGACAACTTTGTCTATAAAGTCTCAGGGATAGTGAATCAACATTAGCCTAGTGGTCTCAATACTACTGGGCAATTCTTCAAACTGCTTTGTAGCCACTTCCCTACCCACCCAAACAAATATCTGAAGATGATTATCCACACCTAAAGCTTCTTGTAGTTGGTCCCAAACTGATGCACACTGAACAGTGTGGAGAGGTAGAAATTACTGAAATTTGCCTTTTTCTACTCTCTTCCTTGATATTCAAAGGAACATCTCTAGATTATTTTTCTTTGTTAAAGCTTCACTGAATTTAAGACCCAAAGCATTGGCTAAAAGGAATGTAATAAGAAAGAATTAACCAATATTTTCATAACATATTCAATCCCACTAGCCACTCCTGGAAGCTCTATTACCTACGTTTAAAAAGCGCGGTGGCTCACGCCTGTAATCCCAGCACTTTGGGAGGCCGAGGCGGGCGGATCACGAGGTCAGGAGATCGAGACCATCCTGGCGAACACGGTGAAACTTCGTCTCTACTAAAAATACAAAAAAATTAGCCAGGCGTGGTGGTGGGTGCCTGTAATCCCAGCTTCTAGGGAGGCTGAGGCAGGAGAATGGCGTGAACCCGGGAGGCGGTGGAGCTTGCAGTTAGCGGAGATCGCACCACTGCACTCCAGCCTGGGCGACAGACCGAGACTCCGTCTCAAAAATAAAATAAAATAAAATAAAAAGTGACCAATTTATCACTGTGTAAGAAAGGGCAATATTACTAAACATCTAGAGTCTAAATGTAATTTTGGGGGGGGGGTCCAAGCACCTAAAAATATAATTACTGTCTCTCACTTCCTCAAACTTCAGACAAGAAATGTAATTTTTCCCAGCTGAACTTCAAAAATAAAAAAGAAAGAAAGAAATGGTCATTTCTGGGGTTTGTTTTTTGCTTGTTTGTTTTTGTTTTTTGAGACAGAGTCTTACTCTATTACCCAGGCTGGAGTGTAATGGTGCGGTCTCGGCTCACTGCAGCCTCTGCCTCCTAGGTTCAAGCTATTCTCCTGCCCCAGCCTCCCGAGTAGCTGGGATTACAGGCGTGTGCTGCCACACCCGACTAATTTTGTATTTTTTGGAAAGACGGGGCTTCACCATGTTGGTCAGGCTGGTCTCGAACTCCTCACTTCAGGTGATCCACCCGCCTCGGCCTCCCAAACCGCGCCCGGCCAGAAATGGTCATTTCCGAATGTACCACGTGTAATGCCAAAGGAACCCAAGATCCCTGCCCATGCCTAATAACTGCCAAACACTGACAGGCTTCACTGAGCTGTAAAGGCCAAATAAATAGGTTCCTAGTTTATCTTTTCATTCATTAAACAAATATTTACTAAGCAGCTACTAAGGGTAAGGCACTAAGTATCAGCCACGTTCCCGGATACACTGTAGTGAACAAAGCCCTTTCTTCAGTGCTATGATCCTCAATAGGAGAAAGTACAGAATTAAAGAGGGTGATAGGAAAACTTCAGAGGCTGGGGAGCCTTTTTGACTACCTGCTTCATTACACCCTTTAAGGGAGTTCTCCGGAATATTTACACAAAGGGGAAGTTGGAGAAAAAAAAAAATGTTATAAACAAGGGATTAAGTCAAAACTTTGAAAACTACTGACTCGGCGGAACTTCCATTCCAAAGGTAGGATAAATAAGTAAATGACTAATTTCAAAATGTGGTAAACACTACGAAGAAAATAAAGGTGACATAAGAAAAGTGCTCTAATAAAAACTGGGTTCTCGGAAGGCCTCCCTGAAGAACACTTTACGTACAAGTGAACATTAACTCTCACGCCACACAGAACCAGAAGCACAATGAGGTAGAAACCGTCGTTAATAGCTCTCATCCATCCTAGAATTCACATTACCTGTTAGTAATTAACGAATACAATCATCCCAGTCGTTTAGCAAATCAACAACAGGTAGCAAACCCCCTCGAGACTTTGAATACTCTCTAAACAAAACTTGAAGCTGCTTTTACCACGCTTGCTCGGTCTTTAGGGATCATTGTTCATACACCTAAGGCAGCTGACAAAAGAGAGTCACACTCGCCTAGTGGCTGAGCTCGACCTGCTCTGGCACACGAGACTGAGCAGGGGCTTTCGCCAGGGGTGCGTGGGCTCACAAGAACAAGCGCCTGACCCGTCAGGCCACCGGCGCGCGGGCGCCCAGAGCGGACGGCGGGGGCGTGGCGGGCCCTGCGCCTGCCTTTGTTGTCCCTCGTGGCGTGCGGGGGGGAGGGGAGGCCCGAGGCCCGCGAGGCCAGATGCCGCCTCCGGCCCCAGTCGCGTGGTCTCCCGGCCCCCATGGGCGCGCGAACCCACCTTCTTGTAGTGCTTGCCCAGCCAGACCCGCACCGAATCCAGCTGGGACACCGTCTCCGGGCTCTCCCAAAACTTGGTGGCCGGACCCCCATCCTTCCGCCGATAAACGGCTAGGCCTGCGGCTACCGCCGCGGCCCCCGAGCCCGTGGCGCCTACCGCTGCCCCAGGCCCGCCGCCGCCCGCCGCTGCGGCCATCGTCGCAGCCCGTCGTCCCCACAGCCTGGCCCACCCCAGCCCTCGCGGTGTTTCCCGTTCGTTCCCGCGCGCGCCCGCGCGCGCGTAGCCGCCACTGCCGCTTCCCGGCCCCGCCCAGCCAACCCCCTTCCGGTGCGGACGCCCGGCCCCGCCCCCTCTCGGGACTGGCGCCGTATCCGACGCGAGCCCGCGCATACGCATGCGCAGCACTCGTGCGGGCGCGCCTTGGACTAGCACGTCCAGCCGCCTCTTCCGCCAGCCTCTGTAGGCTCCGTTCTCCCCTAGTGAGTGCCGGTTATTGAGCCATGCTCTTCCCTCGCTACCGACGTCGAATCGTTATGCGGTTAACAACCGCAGGTTGATTCTGTGTCATAGCCTGCCTCCGCTGAAGGGAAAAGGTCTGGTGCGAGAAGTGCCGAGGGGAAAGCCTGCCTAGGGTATCGAGTGCGCCGGGCCCGGCTTTCCCTTAGACCCTCCACCCCCAGCGGCCCGGCGGCATTTGGGAAGAGCCATCTGGGACGCCCACGCCAAGGCTTTTCGGCTTCACAGACCTTCCACTCCCTCAGGGGTCCAGCCACAGCGGCTCATTCCTGCCCCCACGGGCCCTTGCATCGGCTGTTTCGGAGACCTCAGCGGGTCTTCCCTTCTGATTTTCACTTATGAGACGCGTTCAGATTCACTGGTTCAAAGGACTTCAGAAAGCCGTTGTCATATCTTACAATCTTGAACTGTTCACACCCATACACTTTCTGCGTAGCGCTTACCATGACCCGGTGTTTTTAGTTTCTCATTTACCTTCCACATAAATTACATGAGAACCTAATCTTAACTTGTTCACAGGTGTATCCTGAACACCTGAGACAATGAATACATGTACAGTGAATACTTGATGAATTAATGAATGGCCCATATAGAAGCCGAAAATTTTTAAATTATCAAGGTATGATTGGCCGGGCGCGGAGCACTTTGGGAGGCTGAGGCGGAACGATCGACTGACCTCAGGAGCTCTAGACCGCCACGCCCGTCCCCGTCTCTCCAAAAAAGTACAAAAAGCAGCCGGGCATTGTGTTGCAAGCCTGTGCTCCTAGCCTCTTGGAGGGCTGAGGTGGGAGGATCGCTTGAGCTGGGGAGATGCAGGCTGCTGCAGTGAGCTATAATCGCGCCACTCACGACACCATCCTGGGCGACAGAGCAAAACCCTGTTTCAAAAAGTACGACTGGCCATAATGGAGTTGTGAACATAATGCTATATGATCTCAGAGAAGCAAGTAACTAATTGCTTATGAGAAAGTGACTAACTGCTGATAAGGTTTTGAGACCTTTTAAAAATGAGGGTATGTACGTTTTCAGGATCTCCTGAGGGCTGTGTCACGGACAGTAAAATATATTAAATTAAAAAATGAATAGAATGTGATCAGGAGGGCCAGGCGAGATGGCTCACGCCTGTAATCCCAACACTTTGGGAGGCCAAGGTGGGCTGATCACAAGGTCAGGAGTTCGAGACCAGCCTGGCCAACATAGTGAAACCCCGTCTCTACTAAAACTACAAAAATTAGCCACGCGTGGTGGTGCATGCCTGCAATCCCAGCTACTCGGGAGGCTGAGGCAGGAGAATCGCTTGAACCCAGGAGGTGGAGATTGCAATGAGCCGAGATTGAGCCGCTGCACTCCAACCTGGGCGACAGAGCAAGACTCCATCTCCAAAAAAAAAAAGTTTTTATTTTGAAACTTTCTCAGATTTAACAGAAAAGTTGCAAATATAATACAAAGAACTTTTCCTGAATCATCTGAGAATAAGTTGCTGATAACTTATTCTCATAATGCCCATAACTATCAAAAATTTTAAAGTGTATTTTCTACAGACAAGTATAGTCTATATATTCTCTTACATAATCACAGTACAATCATTTATACTGGGAAATTAACACTGATGCCATCCCCAGACCCCATTCAGGTTTTTCCTATTGAACCGTGAGGTCCTTTATAGCAAAAGTTTCCAGTTCAAAATCACACTTTGCATTCAATAAAGTTTCGTTTCCTTCAATACGGAACAGTTCCTTAGTCCTTAAACCTTAACAACATTGATACCTATGAAGATTACAAGGCATTTATTTAGTAGAATGACCCTCAATTTGAGTTTGATGTTTCTTCTTTGTGTTCTTTGCATTGCATTCTATCAGGTGATGCATAATTTCATTTCTCCTGTTACATTGATGACAAAGTATCATTCAAGTTTCTCTACTGTGAAGTTATTCTTTTTGCCTTTGTAATTAATCACTATTTTCTATGGAGGTATTTGGTTTTTTTGCTTTTGGGGGGTTTTTTGAGATAAAGTCTTGCTTTGTCACCCAAGCTGGAGTGCAGTAGTGTGATCATGGTTCACTGCAGCCTCCACTTCCTGGGCTCAATTGATCCCTTTGTGGAGGTGTTTTGAAAGTATATTAAGGCCTGGTGTGGTGGCCCATGCCTGTAATCCCAGCATTTTGGGAGGCTGTGGCAGGCAGATTAATTGAGGTCGGGCATTCAAGACTAGCCTGACCAACATGGAGAAATCCCGTCTCTACTAAAAATACAAAATTAGCCAGGTGTGGTGGTACATGCCTGTAATCACAGCTACTCGGAGGCTGAGGCAGGAGAATGGCTGGAACCCAGAAGGTGGAGGTTGTGGTGAGGTGAGATCGCACCATTGCACTCTAGCCTGACCAAGAAAGAGCAAAAACTCCATCTCAAAAAAAAAAAAAGTATATTTAAAAAAAAAAAAAAGAAGAAGTGGCCAGGCACTGTGGCTCGTGCCTGTAATCCCAGCACTTTGAGAGGCCGAGGCAGGTTGATCATCTGAGGTCAGGAGTTTGAGACCAGCCTAACCAACATGGTAAAACCCTGTCTCTACAAAAATACAAAAATTAGGCCAGGAGCAGTGGCTCACGCCTGTAATCCCACATTTTGGGAGGCCGAGGCGGGCTGATCACCCAAGGTCAGGAGTTCAAGACCAGCCTGGCCAACGTGACGAAACCCCATCTCCACTAAAAAATACAAAAAAATTAGCCAGGCATGGTGACGGGCACCTGTAATCCCAGCTACTCGGTAGGGTGAGGCAGGAAGAGTTGCTTGAACCTGGGAGGTGGAGGTTGCAGTGAGCTGAGATTGTGCCACTGCACTCCAGCCTGGGCAACAGAGCAAGACTCCGTCTCAAAAAAATATATGTATAAAAATTACCTGGGCACGGTGGCATGCACCTGTAATCCCAGCTACTTGGGAGGCTGAGACAGGAGAATCGAAGAATCACTTGAACCCAGGAGGCAGAGGCTGCAGTGAGCCAAGATCAGGCCACTACACTCCAGCCTGGGCAACAGAGCAAAACTCCCACTCAAAAAAAAATTATATAAATAATTCATTTCCTCATCAAACTTTCCACTTATTTTTGTCACACAAACTCAAACCATTCCAAACTTGACTAAATGCATATTTGTAAATTTTTCTCTCACAGTGAGTGATTTGGCTGCCATTATTCTCAATATGTTTATTTGTTTTCTTAGTTCTCCAGATATACCCAGTCTCCATGCTGAGTTACCCTCCTACGTAGCTACTCTCCAACCAGCCTTCCCAACATCCCATGCTAGTCCACCCTAAATATGCTAAGACATGCCTTGCTCTCTCCAATCGAATGACTTTAGGACTGAATTATTTGAGAAGGGATGATAGAGGATTAGGAAAGATAAAAATGTCACTCTTGGCTGGGCACAGTGGCTCACTCCTGTAATTCCAGCACTTTGGGAGGCCGAGGTGGGTGGTTCCCTTGAGGTCAGGAGTTCAAGACCAGCCTGGCCCACATGGTGAAACCCCATCTCTAAAAATACAAAAATTAGCTGGGCATGGTGGCTTACACCGGTAATCTCAACACTTTGGGAGGCTGAGGGCAGATCACGAGGTCAGGAGTTTGAGACCAGCATGGCCAAAATGGTGAAAACCCATCTCTACTAAAAATACAAAAATTAGCCAGGCATAGTGGTGCATGTCTATAATCCCAGCTACTTGGGAGGCTGAGGCAGGAGAATCACTTGAACCCAGGAGACGGAGGTTGCAGTGAGTCGAGATCATGCCACTGGATTCCAGCCTAGAAGACAGAGTGAGAATCCGTCTCAAAAAATAAAAATACAAAAATTAGCCGGGCATGGTGGCGGGCACCTGTAATTCCAGCTACTTGGGAAACTGAGGCTGGATAATTGCTTGAATCCGGGAGGCAGAGGCTGCAGTGAGCTGAGATCGTGCCATTGCATTCCAGCCTGGGTGACAGAGCAAGACTTCGCATCAAAAAACAAAAAAAGTCACTCTTGGCCGTGCGCTGCGGCTTATGTTTGTAATCCCAGCACTTATGGAGGTTGAGGTGGGTGGATCCTTTGAGCCCAGGAGCTCCAGACCAACATGGGCATCATAGCGAAATCCCATCTCTACAAAAAATACAAAAATTAGCTGCCAGGTGTGGTGGCAGATACCTGTGGTCCCAGATACTTGGGAGAACTGCTTGAGCCTGGGAGCTCTAGCCTACAGTGAGCCATAATAGCGCCACTGCACTCCAGCTTGGGTGACAAAGGCAGACCTTATCCAAAAAATAATAAATCTAATCAAGTCTAAATATGTACTAATATGATGGCCACAGTCAGCTGCAGATAGTCCTTTTCTTTTCTTTCTTTCTTTTTTTTTTTCCTTTCCTGAGGCGGAGTTTCACTCTTGTCGCCCAAGCTGGAGTGCAATGGTGCGTTCTCCGCTCACTGCAACCTCCACCTCTCGGGTTCAAGTGATTCTCCTGCCTCAGCCTCCCAAGTAGCTGGGATTACAGGTGCCCACCACCACACCTGGCTGATTTCTTTTGTATTTTTTAGTGGAGATGGGGTTTCACCATGTTGGCCAAGCTGGTCTTGAACTCGTGACCTCAGGTGATCCGCCCGCCTCGGCCTCCCAAAGTGCTGGGATTACAGGCGTGAGCCACGGCACCCGGCCTCTTTTTCTTTTTTGAAACGGAGTCTTCTTACGTTGCCCAGGCTGGAGTGCAATGGTGTGATCTCGGCTCACTGCAGCTTTCACCTCCCGGGTTCAAGCAGTTATCCTGCCTCA